AAACTTGGAGGTACTAGCATGAGAGAAATACAACTGATTGAATACATATTTTTAAAATTAGAAGAGAAGAAAGTTTGTCTGGAGATTAAAAAAATAACTTGCAGACCTGTGTGTAAATGAAAGTATAATGAGAGCATTAAAAATTATTTGGATACTTTAAAAACACTCATTTAGCCATTCATTCATTTTTCATCACATAATTATTTAGTATTTATAATATGAATAGCTGGGTAACGAGTCTCAATACACCAAGAGAGTATTGGATACTAACTAGTTCCAATGCACCCAAAGGCACACATTTTAAATGACATGTGATAAGTCACAGAGAAGCACTGATGTCTGAATAAGTAAAAACAAATTACCTACAGAAATTGCCAGATGTATAGGTGTAAAATGAACTGTTCATCTCAGAAGATTTTTATAGCTTTCCCTGTAAATCATATTAATTGAGGTAGACCACTACTCAACAACTAACGAAGAAATAAGATAATGCTATAATATCTCACTTATCTGGAGTTACAGGAAAGTTCCAGGCAGCTGCTGCATCAGCTAACTGCAGTAATGATTCAAATTGTGAACAGATTATCATGTTTTCAAAGAAGTGAAATATCATAAAATTCATTGAACATTAAATCTAAAAGTACATATGCGGAGAATATGATCTGGTATTATGCTTTTCTCTGGCCCTGAATTACCTATCATTTGTTCCTGCTCACAGAGTTGAAGTGAGATAACTAATTTGATTGTGAGAGATCAATTCTTAATTCCTAAACAAAGGAATTTAATGAGAAATGGAAAGACTGGTGTAATTCAAAGACTAGAGATTTGTCACAAAGAGAAAAACTAAAAAAGTGAGAAAGTTAGGGTCACAAACTAGAGCTATTCTTATAGAGAAGAGCGAGAGGAGCAAAAGTCTCAGAAATAGGATATTATAAAAAAGTAACACAACTTGGAGACAAAGGGAACAGAAATGAACATATGTACTAGGAAAAAAATATCTTGAAAAAGGTGTGCATCCATTTTGTGATGTATGGAGCTAGGAGACAGAAATGTTAAAAAAGTTCACGTATAAGAATTACTTGTGGACTTTAATATTTGATAAAGTGATGCTATGTTTATGACATTACATGAATATGCAAATCCCAGAGAAAACACTATACGAGGATATGTAAATATGAGGGTGATGTGTGCCAATACGAGAACTTGTTTATTTTGAATCCTATGTACACTCTTAACCACACTATTGAGTTCAACAGATTAAGAAAACTCACAGAAGGCAGATTGAGATAATGAAGGGATTGAAAGAGATGTGACTAAACAAAACATGCTCTACAATTTTAATCAACTGAAAACTTGAAGAGCACCATAGAAATAACATAGATGCCCAAAAGAATTTTCTCTAAATGAGGTTTACTGAAAAGAAGTCTATGTAGTGTCAGCAATTTTTCAAATGGAATGTTTCAAAAGTTCTGACATCTTTTCTTGCATTAGGAGCAAGTTAAATTGAAGTTTGAAGGAGACTCAAAAGTAGGCAAAATTAAAATTAGGTCAGGAGACAGCTCATAATTTTTTGGCATGCATTGGACTAGTCTAAATGTTGTGTAATATGAAGGCAGAATGGACTGTGACACTTCAGTAAATGGTTCTAGGAGTCTAGAATATTTCATGGATATAGTATTTAAAAAATTATTATGTCAATGTATTTTTTCATTTCATTCAATATAATTTAATATCATATGACCCCTCAAATAAATGAAAAAAGATTTTCACAAATATATTTTAGATGAAATTTCATTGGTTATTGTCTTTTGACTATTGTCAATTCTTAGGCAATGATTATGTTTATCAACAGGAAATCAACAAGTTTCCAAATAATGAATCCTTAAATCCTGAAATCCTTTGTATCATTTAGGCAGATTTGAACACAAAGATACACTTATCTATTGACAGAAATCAATCATAAGTGATGATGTTCAAAATGTGAAGCCAAAATCATAAGCAAGAATGATTCCAGAAATAATATAATTGTTTTAACTGTTGGGTTTTTCTAAATTACCTTGATAATACAACTTTTATCAACTATATTCTGGAAGTTAAATTATTTTTATGCTCCGTATTTGCTGAGACCATCCAAATTGTGTCATTTGTTATTTTATATGAGGTGTTTATAATACTAAAGAATTTCCTGAATTCTTCACAATAAAATCTGATGTTATTTTTAAACTCTAGATAATAGTTTTTTGTGTTTCATTTGAAATCAACGATTAATTTTTATTAAAAGATAAGGTGATACTTTGGTACATTTTATTATTCCCCCCAAAAAAGGTAAAGCCAAGCTAAAATTTATTAACATTTTAAGATAAATCTAAACACTGAGTTTTGAATATGGCCATATTCTAAATATTTACATTTATTTCTTCAATCCTTCAGAGTATCCCTTTGGTTTTTATGAAAGTATTAACAAACTACAACATTGTAACAAAAATTAGAGCAAACATGCTTCAAAAGTGCTCATGACTAGTGAGTATTAATAAATATTTTCAAAATCACTGCTGATTTAAAAACGAACTTCCATTTCATTAAATGCATCATATATATTCTTCATAGATCTTTTCTTACACATTAAAAAGAAAATAAAATATAGTTGTATGTGAGCATTTCTTTAAAAAAAACACAGAAACTACTTTTTTTAATATGTGCATACATGTACTTTTATGTAAAAGCTGGTTTCTTGCAATTTTCAATTTTAAATGTGGCAATCAGAAGTTTAGAAATGGGAAGTTGTTGGGTACAGACCATGACCTCATTTGTATTATTAAGCATATTACCATTTCCTCATCATTTTATAAATGATAGTGGTAGCTTCATTCAGCTTCACTTTTAGAGCTCTACAAAAATCACTAAATATACAGCTGCTTTTATTCACATCAAACGTACATTATGTTTATTAAAGAACTAAATGCATGTTTAGCAAAATAAAACTCTACCTCAATAATTATTTAAGCATTCTGATCAAAAAGAAGTTATAGATGTCAAATTTTAATTTAGTTATATAAGGAACAGACTTAATTTAGAAGATGAGAATACTTCCATTGCTAATGATAAATAATACAAATATGAACAACTACCACCATGTGAATTTGGAGGGCAAAATGGTCAGGCATGATTTTGATGTATAGTTTATACTTAAATTAACCATAAAACTGGCTATGTCTATTAAAATCAGGCCCATGATGTAATTTTAAGATGACATTAAACACTAAAAGTTGAAGTTGTATGAATAGCTAAGGAGAGTATAAGTAAAAATAACAAAACACTTATATTTTTGCTTAGTTTTCACCTAGGTCACACTTCATCCCAAACTCTAAAGTTTGAGTGGTGTGAGCTGGCTAAAACGGAAAAAAAGTAGTTTAAAACTAATTTATTGTACCGTATCTGAGTGATACAGAAACAAATTTTAATTTTCCTAATTAAATAATATATGCATTCTTGATCTAGCAACACACATAACTATTTTAGGTTATTTTAAATCATTAATGTGTGTAGATGTGTGAGCTAAACTTGAGGACTTTAGTATCCAAATTTCGTTAGTAATGATGTTAGACATTTCAATATTTTCCTTAAGTATATGAGGTCCTCTTGTATTTTATAGCTTTAAAAAATAAAGCAAAATAAATATCAATAGTTTATAGAGAAGAGAAATTATTTGGTTCTGAAATAATAAAATACTATATCATGCATGGAGTAATGATATTTTCAGGAAATCTAAAAAGTTGAATTGAATCCTTCATAAAACAGTTTAATCATTGTTGCCATCATAATGTATGTTTCCAATGGCAGAACCATTCCTTTATCAATGTCTAGAGTACTAGTCTTGTCCTCAGTGTATTCAATTCATGCCTTTCATATTTACATTCATGAATTGAAATATATGTTCTTCTAATTTTTGTCTTTCCTTTAAGTATTTTTCTATTTCCCTCCCATCCCTGAAGTCATGAAAGAAAGGATACATTTGCAAACTATTTTATTTTTATTTCTAACATGATTTCATGATTTTTTTGTACTAGAAAATGAATGTAAGAAAACAACAGGTATGTTAGATTTGCTACACAAGATAAAAGTCATCTTTTGATTGAGTTTTCATGAGTTTCATCCTTATCAAATACTAGTTTATGTGGTTTGACCAAACAATTGAATTGTCAGTGGTATTTACCCATTGACTAAAAGAAAATGATTCCTTTGTAGCAGAGAATAATAGGATAATTTCATTACCAAGATCCTCAAAGGAAATTAACTAGAATCTCTAAGCATTTTTATTTTCACAGTAGTTGTATAAAATAATCCACTTAGAGAATATGGTCCCAATACTGAAAGAACAGAGTACAATTTTCAATGTCTCCATTATTAGAAGAACGTATTATTTTAAGTAAATGAAGACTAGTGCTTTATTTATATGTTTCCCTCACATAGTTCCGCTGATTCTGATCAGAGACTTTACTCCATATGAACCTATTTCTTAATCATGTTGAATGGTCAAAGTGATAGCTGCACTGATTCCCTAATTTAGCATCAAATGTTTAATGTCGCTGTGGAAAAAGGATGATTATGCGATAATGCTGGCATCAATAAATAAAAAAGATCTCCCAGTGACTCAAGTGTCAAGAGATGTTTTTCCATCTTAATTAAGCTCTTCAAAACACATGGAAATCAAGTAAGCAAGAGAGCAATATTCAAAGGAAATATGAAACACATTTGAAAAATGTTTTCAACATCAAAAGTTATGTTTGATTGTTGTCAACAACCATGTCCTAACACAGGAACCTGTCTTCCTGTTAAGCATATTCATTTTTTCATAGTAAAGTACTGCCTGGATCCAAGAGTCACTTTTATCTTTGTTTCTGAAAAACAACCTGAGCCCTATTTTCACTAAAAAGAATGGCATGGTGAACTTTATTCCCTCAAAGGGAATACTTTGATAAAGCTTTTTATGTAATACTTACTCAAATATGGTGGTTTGTAAGGCGCTCGTGTATTAGACAGCAGTCCATCCAGCTCCTTCCTCTCCAGGGTGCTGTGAAGGGCCTTCTCTTTGCCAAAGGTGGAGAAAGACCTCTCTGCCCCAGGCTGGGCTTCTGGGGTTTCAAACACCTCGGTGTCTGGAACAGAGTCCATGCCAGGAACATGCAGATTGCTGCGATAATCCGCAGCCTGGCGTCCATCCGCGGGGACAAAAGAAGGCATCCAGCACCGATCTGAGTGACCCAGAGCTTTACATTCCTCAGTACAGTTGGAGAAGAGATCCATACCTGTAAGCAAAAGAGACACTACAGATTCAGGTTTCACTAACGTGAAAGATTACAGGTAGCATAAAGAGTGCTGAGTGAATGTGTTTTGCCAAACTGTTCTTGCCTTAACCTCATAGGAACCAAAAATGTCTTTGTACTATTGCGCAAAGGGTTAGATTCTTCTAGCAAAGAGGACCCTGAGGAAGATGTTTCTAAAATTCTCAGAGTTGGGAAAAAACTGGGGGGGGGGGACTAGGAAATGGTGAGTAGAAAAAAAATGAATATGTTAAAAAATCTCTGGTGAAATTCACAATCGAGAAAAATGCAAGTATAAAGCTTTTATAATACATAATCTCTAATGATGATAAGGGGTCCAACATATTTTTTTTTTTGCCTTAGAGATAAAAACATTGGAAATACATGAACACAACTGATGATAGTTAGATTAAGAAATCTAGACATTAAAGAGAGAATGAAATTTAAGAGAAATACAGCACACATATTGATAAACCAATAAATAACAAGAATGAAACATTTTGTGAGCCATGCCAAGAGCATGCTTTCTTAGGTTCTCAGAAAATGACCCTAAAAGGTATAGCTCAATGACATTCTGGTAGCCCATGTTACTATTTATTATTTGCCACTACAGACAAACCCAGAACAGATGACTAAAATTAGTGAAATCAAAGTAATCAAGTGTAATGTGAGTAAGCTGCAGATACTAGCGACAAATACCTTACTACTTGTCCCACATTGGAAACACTTGTCCGAGCGAACACAGAACTATTTCCTTATTAATCCCAGGATACTCAGATTTCAAATGACACCTTCAAGTTTCATTGTCTCTCACAGATTAACTAGACTATGAAACACTATCTGATTATGACTCAAGAAAGCTCAATTTCTCAAGCAAAGCATAACAGTTTTGAGAATTGTAGAATCCCATTTGACATTCATTTTGGTAACTACCCCTACTCAGAAAAACAAGTATGTAAACTATAATCACATTTTAATATTTTTCTAAACATGCTAACACGTTTATTGTTCATGTTTTTAAACAGGATCAGTTTACAATAACTCAAGTATGATTATTCTGCATATAAGAAACTCTCAAATGCATGATGAATTTCTTTTTTAATCAACAGAGTAATATTTATTTAATGAACCCATCTGTTTATTCTTATAAATACCATGAGCGATTTTGAACTCCTGTGTTTTAGTTTTTAAATTCTTGATGGCCTTTGGTCACAAACAGGTTTAGGTGTTTGTGTGTGTATATTTTAACATCTGTATACACAAGGTACAGAAAATAATTCTTTCAGAGTATTAATCTTCTAGATTATCCACAAGTATTTTGGAGATAAGAACAGTTAATTATGTAAATTATGTTTAAAGAGATAAAATGAATCTTCTTATCATATATTAATCTCACTTTATGACTTTTTTATTTTAAATTAAGCTGTGTATAATGCTGAGTCTGGTTTCGATTAAAGTGTTCCATTGATAATTGTCATGCATAAGCCTCGAAATAAATTACTGATCAGTGAACTGTTGAGGAACTTAGACGTGAGCTGAAACCAGGATAAGGAACCAGGTTAAGAAAGCATGTAAAATATGTCAGTGTTTTTTTGACACCAGAGTACCTGAGTATTTTTTTTTTTCTATTTCTTCAGAGATATGTAGAAAGAAAAAGAGAAGGGGAAGAAAAATGTCCCTGATACACACTGACATCCTAGGTGAGTAAAATCTATAGAACCAAAGAGATTTATATTTTGAATACTGTACTAGAAACACTCCCTATTTACAGTATCATGGCAAAAAAAATTTTTTTGATAGATGGAATTACTGTTCAGAGTAAAATGATTGTGAGCAATTATTTAATTTAAAATTAAATTCAAATCATATTAAATTTGAAATTGGTGGAATTAATTCAAATATTAAGATAAAACTACATTATTAAACCCTAATAAAGATGGGTACTAATGCAAACTTTGGAATTAATACAGTTTTTTTCTCACAGGACTGATGCATACCATTTTAAATATACAACATGAGACCGTTAACAATCCTTCACATCTTTTTGAGCGGCTATACTCTCAACTGCTCTCCTAATTTTAAATATGATCTTCTCTCTTATGGAAAAATTTTAATAAACTAGTCACTCAACATTACTAAGATGTTATGCGTGTTAGAAGGTACTTTTAGAAGAACTTAATTAAATAGTTTATACTCAGTTGTGCCCATTTTCTTTTCTTGAAGTGTCTGGTTTTCTGGTTTTAGGCTTCTTTAATTATCAGAGGTTAGTTAAAGTTCTCTTAGATGATATAGTCAAGTTCTCATGAGTTGAAAACTTGTACAAAAATTGTGTCATGTGCATAACAAGATAAATGAGAAATAGGATGAAGCACTGTATTGGAAGAACAATTTTACTTGACAGAGAAAACACTTGTAAATAATGTTCTTACTAAATCTATGAACTAGTCTTTTTAAAGTGTGATTCCCGTAGCAAACCACATAGCTTTATATAACCAGAGTGAAAGATAAGATGCTATAAATTGTGCGTGAACACACTTCACTGGTTTTACTGATAAAACAAGTGTACCAATTTCTCATGAGGAAAATATCGGACACAGAAACAAAATTTTTTAAAAATAACATCAACACTACATCAATGCATTCCAAATTATTTGTCTTTTAGATATATAATCTGAAAACCAAATAAATATACTTGTTACCAATCCTCACTTCAGGAAGTCACTGAAAGATACTTTTTTTTTTTTACCTTCTTTCATTTATCACCAGTGCCCTCAAATAGACTTTTTAATGGCCAAATAAGCAGAAGTATACTTAAGTTTTATTGTGATAAATGACTACATGATATACGGGAATCCCAGGCCTTCCAGGACAGGTGACGTATTAAAATGTGTGCCTTTCACATTGTTCTTGAAATTTTTTAATATTCAAATTGAAGTCCCAAGAGAAGATAAATTCAATGGGATTTTTATATTTTCTCATTCAAATGCCCCTACTATAGAACCTGTGAGATTTGTATAGCAGAAAAGCACAGGCCAAACCTCAGTTTTGAAGTTTGGATAATTTCTAAGAAACATCTCAACATATATATATATATATATTACTTGAAATTTCTTCTCCTAGTTATTTATTTCTCCCACTTCTCAGAAATAATCTGTTCTACAAGGCATGACAGCTGATGTGATAGACTGCCTGTTATGCAAAGATATATTTAGACAAATTTTAAAATACATATTTTTTAACTGGCAAGTAACTTGTTCTTTATAGTCGGAGTCAGTGATATTACCATTGAGAGTAAATCATGATTTCAAAAATATTATAATTATATTCAGTTTGCTATTTTCTGATGAATGTGATAATACAAAGTTATATGTACATTTCTTTCTCATGCACCAAGCCTTCATAAAAATGGTTAATTTTTCATAGCACGATAAATTAATTTAAAAGAAAATCAATACTTAATTATTTTGAGGAAATTTCCAGTCCTCCTCTACCACTTAACAACAACAGCAACAACATGAAGAGATATTAATTATAACCACAAAAGTTGCTGTAAGATTTAGGAAAGGATAGCTTGGAGGCAGATATTTATCGACATGATTCACTCATGAAAAATCAAAACATGTGCATCAAAATTTCTCCCGACTTATTAGTCTTCCAAAGTGTTGATATTTTTCTCCATTTGCTCTAATGTTTTGTCACATATTTTTTTGCCAATTATAAATCTCTCTGTAGCATCAAGTTGTAGTTCAGATTTTCACCAGGAACCTGAATAAGCTTTTGCAAACAATCACGTAAATTCACTTTATTTACAAATCCAGATGTGAATCTGCCAGTATCTAAATTCAGAGTGGAGCTGGGAAAGGGAAATTTGTATTGATGATAAGCCAAAAATTGACTTGTTGGTGTTGTAAGAATGGTGCCATGGTTGAAGATGTTTCATGATATACTTTACTTGTTTGGAAACACTGGCAATTCAAATCACTTTGCTTTTTTTTAACATGTAGTCAGATTTTGACCACATATCACATATCTATCTCAATCATTAGCTAAAAAATTAACACATCTAATCTAAGTTTCCTTGTAACTGAAGGTCAAATGTACAAGAAAGAGCCATTTGACAATTTTCAGGTAAACTTTAACAAGTAACTTTAACAGAATCACTTCTGAATTGCTTCTTAGGACTATCCTCTTCAATATGTATTTTTAAGAAGGCACAAATATTGAAAATGAATTGATAATTGCAGTATGCACATCACAAGTATTTCATAAGCGAGGCAAAAAATTCTTAAAGCTAAATACATCTCTTTAGATGTACTTGCAATAATGCCAAAATGTTTAAGAGTATACAACTAAAATTTTTGTATCAGTATTCCAAATCAGAAAAAAAATCTTTTAATCTCATGATATAATAAACAAAATTGAAACCATATTTCTTTTAAGTACAGTTTGATTTATTTGTGGCTATGTAATCTGTGATTAATCAGATTTTCCTCTTGTGATGGTTTATGCATACATTTACCACATCTCCCTGGACTCCTGCCATATCTAACCAATACATCAATAGCGCACTGAAAAAAAACGGAAAGCACCTTGACAAGGCAATAGAAAGAAAATGCCACAGAGCAGTGGTCAAGCCGAAGGATTTCACACATGGAGCCAGGTGCAGTAGAAAACTGAAAAAGCTTATGTGATTCTCTGTGCAGCTGCCTCCGTGTTTAAAGCCCTTCTATGAACAAGATTGGTGACTCCAAATGGCATAGAAAGGAGAAAAGCAAAGGGGGAGGGTGGAGAAAGAACAAAAAAGAAAACTATTCATAGTAGAATAAATAGAAGGCATATCGACATAAATAAATACAAAGTAATGCTAACGCAGAAAAAGAAATCGGAGACAAATAAAACGTTAGGGAGCTTAAACAGGTGAAGCGCTAAGCTAAATAGTCTATATAATGTAATGAGGAATAAGGTACACACTAAAGTAGAGAATTCAGAACCTGTATCTTTCTAATGTTATTTTTCCATGGCAATCTGGTGTTCTTCCCCTAAAGACTAGCTTAGTGAGATTTGCTGATGCGTATGAATTTTGTTTTTTATATCCTAAACCTGAAAATGGATGTGCTATGAATACTATTTCTTAAATATTACACAATTGGAAGATCATTAATACCTGGCTTTATAAGACAGGCAATAAAACAGATGTACTTATTTACCTGAAATGGGCTTAACTTTTAGAAAATATTATAGCCACTTGATGTGAAGTTTATAGGACACAACATCAGTAGGGACTGGAAAAAAGTCATTAAGTAAATGGATTTCAATTTTCTGCATTTAGGGTTTCATACTTAATAAAAGAAAATACTTCAAAATCATTCTTACCATACAATTAGACATATTAAATCTGATTGCAATTCAGCACACAAAGGTGAGATTACTTCTTAATACAAGCGTGTCATTACAATTCTAAAAGAGCAGTTATTGCACTCAGTATCTTGTGGCTGCCCTGTAATTTCCAAGGAAATACAAAAGTAAACCGTTAATTCTGTAATGCTTTTTGTGTTTGAGAATGTAAAGATAGAGACAAAATTTTGCCATGGATAAAGAAAAATACAAACTGCCTTGCTTTTTGGAAAATTTTCCAGCACAAAATTTAGCATTCTAATTCTCCTTGTAATGCTTTGACATCTCAAATAATTCGAAAGAAACATTACCAAAATGGCAACACTGAGTGCCTGTGAAATGAAATAGCTACTGGGAAGACGCATTGATAAGAATATATTCCCATCCCTCTTCCAAATTTAGCACTTTTTGCAGATGTTTATTCGTTTCTCTTTCTTTGGTTAGGTTATTATAGCTCATTATGTCTGAGGGACTAAACTAATTGAAATGTTCATTGAGAGTGGAGTGCTACAGAAAAAGACAAAGTTGGGGGGGGGGAGTGGGAAAAGAATAAAATGCACCCAAGGATACATGCACCAGAGACTCTGTTTTAATATCATACATTTTGTTTTAAAAGTTTTAAACAGGCTAACTTAAATTAGAAACCCTGAAAAAAGAACAGGAATGAGCAATTCTAAATGTACAGGCTTTTAAAGATAACAATAAATCATATGCCATATATAGGCCAAAAATGAAAGGGACTTTGTACTCAAATATAAACTTCTGGCAAGATCTGGTTTGTTGTCAGGTTCCCAGACACTAAATAGATGCTCTGTTCACTTAGCGTGAAGGCCCGCAAGGGGCAGGGACCTCCGGGGATTCTTGGCTGTTCTCAGGTCTCATTAGGTCTGCATATTAATGACTTGCAGCAATATAAAGAGACCCTTGAGCAGCCTTTTTCCTCCCCTCCTCCTGCCTGTGTTTCCCAAGGCTAAGTCAGTCTCAGACACAGCACACATTAGCCAAGTGAGAGGCTTGCAGCAACCACGGCTGCCAGGCGACCGTGGGGCGTGGGCTGCCCTTTGACATACTGCCTCAGCACAGTTTAGAGGTCCACTGAGTGTGTTCAGGAATGTGTGCTCTCTAGGACCGGTGTTACCTTGAGACTGAGGACTCTATCGCTCTAGGGTTACATCGTTAACCAAAACAAAGCTCGAAAGCAAGTGAACAGAGTTGAATCCAGAGATGGCCCCATGATGGACATTTTTGTAAGTCACAAAAGTTAGTTAATTTGTCTTTCCATTTCTTTTAGCATGTTGGAAAACACACACACACACACACACACACACACACACAAACAACAAGCGCTCTTCTTAACTGAAATGCCAATGAAGTGGAAAGAAAATCCAACCATTATGAAATCATTTTCTTCATTTTAAGGCACATATTTTATTTTTAAAGTGTTTTCTTTAAGGACTCATGAGCAGAGCTATCAGCATCCTATAAAGCTTAGCAGTTAAATTTATATAGAGAAAAATAAAGTAAATAAACTATGTAAAACATCTGTGTCACATTGCAACCCCATCAGTGACTATCATTAAGCAAATACACACAGGGTTCAACTTTTGACAGGCCATGGACCCTATTGAAAATATCAGGAAATCTAGGATGCTCGAGAAAATCCACATTATCAAATGTTTCTTAATGTCCTGGAGCCTAAGAACCCAGATTGGAAATCCTGCTTTCAGTCTATCCATGACTTTTAATCACCACTCCTTCTACCATTCAATACTCAGTGGCTTACAAAATGCACTGCTCTCAAAAGGAAGAAATTTGGATTCTAGTTCCCAATCATCCAATTATTCTCTTGTGACTTTGTGCAGTTCAATCAATTTCATTCATCTTCAGTTACCTCATCCATAAACAAGTCTAATAATACCTTAATGACTAAAGACTGAGGACTGGACCAGGTGAGAAATCTATAGCTCTTTGTATACAATATAATTGCACTAAATAACATTACATAAGGAAAAGATAGCTCATATTCTAACATATTTCACAATGTATCTCTGGCTTTACCTCTTTAAAGGAACATTAAAATTTCATAATCTTCTTTGAATATACACCTATCAACGTAAGATGACGCCATTTTTCTGTGGATTTACGAACATTAAACCTACAGAAAATTACCTAGGACATCATTCTTCCTCGATTTACTTAAAACAGCACCACCACCACCAACACCACCACCAACAACAAAAAACCCAATACTGAAAAGTCAGTATTGCTCTTTGAACACACTTACCAGCTGACTGGCCGCGGTTGGTGGCATCGTGATCACTATCTCCTTGTTCACTGTCTCCATGACCACTGTCCTTAGAGCTTACTATGTCGGCTTCCTGGAATGCAGAACTAGAAGTACAAAAATGTGAATATTAGAATAAAAAAGGTGAAGAAACACAGAAAACATTCTTCTGCCACCACATGGTCAACAACGGTGCTGCAGATTCACAGACCTCTCAGTTGGCTTTATTTCTGCATAAAGCTAGTTTTCATCACCTTAAGCCAAGCTCTTCAAAACTGAGCACAGTAGGTGGTTTGAGCCCCTAAGGCATGTCTGGTTTAGTCATTGTTCTATGATTAGAGTTATGTATATGCTCATATGATTTTTATAAAGGAGAGTATGCATACACTTTGAACAGTTAGGGAGACTATCAGAAGCAGTGTAGGAGCGTAAATTGATAAGATATTCAAATATATTCAGTAAGCTGTATATAGATGAAATATATCCACATTTTAATATGTGGTCTGGGAACCCCAACGTAATCAGTATGTATGTTCTGCCTTAGCTGGAAATGCTTTATATGTTTTATATTTTAATATTGAATAATACACCTAACCCCTGATTTTAGTAGGCAGTAAATTGTCCACACACCAAGGTAGGAGAAAAAAGAGTCCATACCTGTTAACTCGGCGAGGTCTGTCAACTAGATAGCTGAGCTCTGCTCGCTGGTGTTTAGTCTAGAAAAAAAATAAATAAATCAAGAGCATTTGAATGCTAAGGGTTTAACTAGTAGTCTTTTTTTGAGGTTAGGAATTGAGTCTAGTTTAAGTAATTGTGTACGTTTTTATGAATTTTCGAGCTATTCTAAGACCTCACCCTAGTGATTGCTGGGTAAGGGTGGGGTGGGGAAGATATGCACAGACACTTCAATCCAGACTTTCAATAAAAGTTAAAAAAAAAATTCCAAAAACAAAAAGCCAATTTGAAATGTGTGTATGTGTGTTTTTAAGGAGAGAATGCAAATGACCTCATAGCTAGGGCTCATAAACTAATAGAGTCAACCTAGGTAATCTCTACAGTCTTTCTTTCAGTGGCCTAAAAAAGTGTTTGGGTGCATACTGGTTGACACAAGAAAAACAGCACGCTCAATAAGCAAAAAGTTTGGATATTATGGAATTATTTTGTAGTTTATTTTCAAAATGTGCTTAAGATACAAATGAGCTGTACAAATATTCATGAAAGTCAATTAATAATATCTAAGACTCAAATAAAAGAACCTGCCAAGAAAGGAATTCATAATGCTCCCCCCCCCCCCCCGCATACTTTTCCCCCTCCAAATGCCCTCTGCATTCTCCTCCCCACCTCCACCATCCACACACCTTTTCCGGTCCAAACTTTCTTGTACATAAATCGACTCTGTTCTCCCCTCCCTCCCTCCCTCCTTCCAACTTTGCCACTTCTCCATCTTTTAAGAAGAAATCGGAATTGACAAGCCAAATTCTTCGAGGAAGAAAGCCAACAGCAGTGATTTATCAAGACCAGTGGCAAGAGGTGATTATTGGTTAAAAAGATATATTTAAGGTAACAATTGTTTAAGCCTTTCTTTAGTTTACGCTTACAGGGGTCTGTGCCAAAGCAACTTCATTCAAATTCACACTGTGTGGGCGTTGGGCTTCAAGAGCGTCTGTAAATGCTGTCCAGAGCAGAACTGAAGGCTTTTCTGCAACCCGAGTTCAGAGGACAAGGATCTGATAACTTATTCGCTAGAACATGCATTCGAGTTTAGACAACTGTGCAAAGTTAAACAATCTATAGCTTACTTTTACACGCGACTGAAAGCATCGATAAACAAAGCAAACAGCATTAACTTTATTAACGCCTGGGACAAACTCAAAGAGAAAAAGACCTTGGCCGGTGCCAGAAAGTCCCTCCATCACATTTCCCTCGGCCCCCCGCGTACTTTTCCCTTTACCCTCAGAGAACTGAGAAGGGAAAGGACTGAGAAGGGGTTAGGATTTTAAAGGAACGATGCCAGAGGGAGGGAGGAAGGTCCAGGGTGGCAAAGCACCAAGGGGAGGAAATGAAAGTAAATGTGGAGGGTGGGGCGCAGAAAGTAGGGACACCGCGAAGTTTGGGTTACATACGAAGGGGTGGGATAGCTTCCCTCCTCCCCAGTTCCTACCCCCCCCACAAAGATACAAATAAGTTAATATCCTAAATATAAATACATGGTGCACCAGAGATACAAGGGCCGGGCTAGAGGAGGCTTTCAGATGGAGGAGATGAGAGATGGTGGTCCTTTCGCTTCAGCCTTACCTCGTTGGACAAAATGCTTCCGTTGGAGATGATGTCGGGCTGCTGGTCTGTGTAGCCGGTGACGATGGCCCCGCAGGGGTTGTGCTCAGCGTCCGTACTCCTCGAAGGGCTGCAGGGCTTAAGGAACATCAGGTCGGTCTTGGCGGACTCAGGGGTCAGGCAGACCTGGTAGCAGTAATTCTGGTTGTGGTGGTGGGAGCCGAAGCCCCCGGACTCCTCCACCGGCACTTGGGCCGGGTTACTGGGCACGTTGGAGCTTTGCACCAGCATGATGTCGGACTTGCTGAGTTTTTTCTTGCGCGCCCGGGCTTGGCGGCCGCAGCAGGTCGAGCCCCCACCGCCACAGCAGCAGCAGCAGAGGCAGCAGTCACTGGCCAGACAGGTGTAGATGTTCAGTTTCTTCTCTTTTTGGCAACGCACGGCGAGCACGATCATGGCTAGCAGGAATATGAAGGACACCGAGCCCAGCGCAATGATGAGGATGAGCGTGAGGTCCAGCGAGGTCTCCCCGCCGCCCGAGCGGCTGGGGCGCTGATGCTCCCCCGACCCCCCGCCCCCGCCCCCGCCCCCTCCCTGGGGCTCTACAGCTCCGTCCACCAGCTGCACCACCAGTGTGGCCGTGGAGGACAGGGGCGGCTGCCCGTGGTCGCGCACCTCGATCACCAGCTCGTAAGGCCGCTGGGGGTCGCGCTTGGCCGGCACCCGGCGCGCGGTGCGGAGCTCCCCGGTGCGCCAGTCCATGCGGAAGAGGTTCATTTCGTTGCCCCGCACAATGCTGTAGGTGAGCCGGGCGTTCTCGCCGTCGTCTGCGTCCACGGCGGCCACGCGGGTCAGCAGGTAACCCGGCTCCGCCGACCGGGGCAGCACCTCCCGCGCGGGAGTCCCGTTGCGCCCAGGCAGGGGCGCCACGATGGCAGGGGCGTTGTCGTTCTGATCCACGATGAGGATGTTGACGGTGGCGTTCCCGGCCAGAGCCTGGGGGCTGCCGGCGTCGCGAGCTTCCACCTGGAAGCTGAAGTCCTTGAGCTGCTCGTAGTCGAAGGAGCGCAGGGCGTACAAGTAGCCGTTCTCCGAGTTGATGGACACGTAGGTGAAGACGCTCATGCCCTGGATCTGGCACTCGAGGATAGAGTAGGCTAGCTGGGCGTTGGCGCCCTCGTCGCGGTCCGTGGCGCTGACCGCGTAGATATAGGCGCCGGGCACGTTGTTCTCGGTCACATACACGTCGTAGACCGGCTGGCTAAACCGCGGTGCGTTGTCGTTCACATCTGACACCTGCACCTGGATCGACTTACTGGTGGAGAGCGCCGGCTCGCCGCGGTCCCGCGCCACCACGGTCAGGGTGTAGGAGTCCCCGGCCTCCCGGTCCAGGGGGGCTTCGGTCACGATAGTGTAGTAGTTCTTGAAGGAGGACTTGAGGCGGAACGGCACGTCGCCCAGCAGCTCGCACTGCACTTGCCCGTTCTCCTCGGAGTCGCGGTCGGTCACGCTGAACAGGGCCACCACGGTCCCCGGCGCCGCGCCCTCGCTCACCGCCTCCTTCACGGTGCTGAAGCTGATCTCGGGCGCGTTGTCGTTAGCATCCAGCACTCGCACCAGCACCTTGCAGTGCGCGGGCACCGCGTTGGGGCCCAGGTCCTTGGCTTGGACGTACACTTGGTACACCGGGCTCTCTTCATAGTCTAGCTCTCCGCTCACCTCCAGCCGGCCAGTGCGCGGGGACAGGCCAAAGAGCTCCCGCGCCCGGGGCGAAATGTGGCTGCTAAAGGAATACACGACTTCGCCATTCTGGCCCTCATCTGGGTCTGTGGCGTTGAGCTGGATCACGAGCGTGCCCGGCGGCGAGTTCTCTGGTAGAGACACAGTGTAGACGGGTTGGTCGAAGGCGGGGACGTTGTCGTTGGAGTCCAGCACTCGGATGGTGAGTAGGGCAGTGCCGGTGCGCTGCTGTTGGGGGGGCAGGCCCCCTCCCCCGCCGCCTCCCCCTCCCTCCCCTCCTCCTCCCCCTCCTCCCCCGTCCACCGCGGTCAGCACGTAGCGGTGCACCGCTTGCTGCTCTCGGTCCAGCGGCTTCTCCAGCACCAGCTCCGCGAATCGGTTGCCATCCCCCTGGGTCTGCACGTCCAGGGAGAAGTAGCTGTTGGGGGTGATCTCGTAGTCGCGCAAGGAGTTGGTGCCCACGTCTGGGTCGAAGGCGCTCTCCAGCGGGAAGCGGGTGCCCGGCGTGGCGCTCTCAGAGATCTCCACGGTCAGGTCCGGCTCCGGGAAGGAGGGGGGGTTGTCATTGATGTCCAGCACTTCGATCTCCACCCGGAACAGCTCCAGGGGGTTCTCCAGGAAGACCTCCAGGTGCAGGACGCAGGAGGGGCTCTGCTTGCAGATTTGCTCGCGGTCGATCTTCTCGTTCACGTACAGCACCCCGGTCTCCAGGTTGAGGTCCAAGTAAGGGGTCCGCGAGTTGGGCACCGTTTGAAACCTGCGAGCTGAAAGTTTTGTAATGTCCAAGCCCAGATCTTCAGCGATATTCCCCACGAAAGTGCCATGTTCCTGCTCCTCCTGCACTGTGTAGTGAAGCTGGGAAAAGACTCCTTCCACCATCCAGAGCAATGCAAAGAATAATAGCACAATCATCTCCAAAGGGAAAGGAAGCAGCTTCCCGCAGCCAGCCAGCCACCCAATCACCTCCCCCACCACCACGAAAAAAAAAAAATCTCAAAAAATACAAATAAAAGTGCGCTGTGTGGAGGGCTCCTGTGGCTTTCTGTCCTTAAAAAATCTTATTCCTTTTGCTTCATTTTAGGGCTTCCCCCAATTCAGCCTCATTTTTCAATCTTAGCGCAGGAAGGGTGACAGGCGTCCCCTTTCCTCATCTGTAATCTTCCCACTGACCAATTAATAAAATAATAATACAACAGTCAGCGTCCTTTATTCCGACAGTCTTGGCGCAACGCGGCGCTGGCAAATCCCAAGGAGGAAATTTCGATATTTCAAGACTGTCCTCGGTTTGTCTTCTTGCTGATGGGAGGAGAAGAAGGAGGAGGAAAAGAAGGAGGGGGAGGAGGAGGAGGAGGTGGTGGTGGCGGTGGTGGTGGTGATGGTGGAGGAGGAGGAGGAAGATGAAGAGGAAGAGGAGAAGGAAGAGGAGACGTTGCTGGCACCGCTGCACATGCCTCAATGTCAACGGCTGGCAAATGCAAAAGGGCTTAAAAACAGCAAGAGAATTTTGTGCCGGAAAAACACAGAACGGCTCTGCAGCATAAAACTTTCATTCTCTTCGTTTCTCCGGATGGATGTTCTTCTTGGCATTTTCTCCTCTTTCGCTTTATTTGTATTTTTTGGCTTTCATAGTTTTCTCTTTCTCTGTCCTCATCTCCACCATCGTTTCCCTCTCTAGAAGTGTGACGAGCAGCTTCTTTCCTGCTGTTTTCTCCCCCAGCCTCTTTCCCTCTAACCTGTCTCTCTTCCTCCCAGTCTTTTCCCTCCTCCTGCTTCAGCCCTAGAGCCTGTGATCTCGGCTGGCAGTTTCTGAGCTCCGAGCGCTCCGCTTTTATGTTTTTGCGCAGCGCCCTCATTCTGCCAACCAATCGCTGAGGAGCACCACCCACCGAGGCACCGCTCAGTGGCCGACACGCTTGTCAATCACGGTCGTCACTCGGCGGCCAGGAGGGGCGGGGTGGAAGCCGCGTCGGGGCGGGCGGCCGGGGTGAGTGTGAGTGTGAGCGCGAGAACAGCGCGGCAGGTCCCGAGGCGCTGGCTGGGGCCTCTGCCGCGGAAAGTTCCCAGTCCCCAGCCGCAGGTAACGGAGAGGGAATAGAGAGGTTCCCCTGTTTGCATCAGCAAATGCGAAAACATAATCGCAACAGCGGCGGTATCCTCTCCCAGGAGCGGGGTTTCCAATGACGCCAACATTCTTTTTCCTTCAAGGTATTTTCCTTTACTACTGATCGTGGAAATCAATCACCGAGAAGGGAGAAAAGTTGCAGAGGGGCCGGTAACTGACAGGGGTTACCTAATTAAGGGAGACTGGCTGTACCATTTTAAAAAGGTCTATAACATGCGTTCTGCCAAACTAAGCGTGAGGGTCTACAGGGGCTGTATGGAAAGGAGGGAAGCAGCTGGCGTGTGGGGCGGAGGTGGGTCCTGAAAAGCCGAAGGATTCACGCCAGGAGATGTGGGCTGGCAGCTACTACAGCTGTGCCTCTTCCCTTTCTCAGTGTGTATCCATAACAATCTTACCAAATGGGTTATTTCCCCTGGGGACCTAGGTAGGGCTCTTTGGTCACTGCCTGAGGTTCCCTTGAGCTCCGCCTTCGGGCGCGCGCGCCTAACGCCCGGCTCGCCGGCCGCCGAACGCCGCCGGGCGCAGTGAGGCGCCTCGGGTCTCCCTGCGCCGCGCCGGGCCGGGTGCCACCGCGGCGCGCACAGGCTCTTTTCCGCTTGTTCTGACCTTTGGAGATCCCCTTCCCCGCCCGCGTTACACACCCAGGCACCGATTCTTGCCCAGTCTGGGGCAAGACCGCGAGACCAGAAGAGCCGAGCTGCTGAGAACACGCGCAGGGGGGAGGGTGGGTAGGCGGGCAGGGGCCGAGCACACGCGGGGCCAGGGTAACTGCCTCTGCGGTTATCGGGGAATGAGCTCGCACACTTATGGTGCAAGGCGCCCTCCTCCCCGTCCTGGCGCACCGGCCTGTGAAAGCCCCGGCGGCGCCCCGGACACCCCCACCCGCATCTCGCAGGATGCGCTTGAGGAGCCGCGAGTCCGCACCGCCGTGACGCGGGGGCGAAGCAGAGCATCTCTGCAGCCAGTTCTTGTGAAGTTAAAAGACAGCGCGAACTCTTCAGGGTTAGAGAGTGGAATGAATGTGAGTTCTCCGAGAAAAAGATTGTTTTAAAGCGTATTTTTGCACTAATTACTGGGCTGTAGGGGGACTGTTTGTTCACCAAGGCTGCCCCTGTTTAGTCTTCTTCTGCCACAATATAGGACTGTCCCTCGCGGCTTGCTGCTAATGAATGACACGAAAGTAACACCAACACAACCTTCGAGAAAAGGCGGACCGTTTCCCCAAGCCCGAGGTACGTTGTCATCTCTTCGTGATAGGGAAATAAGGCGAGCGAGCGTCCCCGGGCGTGCTTGCAGGCTGAGGCACGCTCCTGTGACTCCCGAGAGTGCGTGCCGGCTGCCCTGCCCTTCCCCCACCCTCCGCCTCGGCCCCGGGCTCTTTCGTAGAGATGGGTCGTGCCTTTGAGCGGTTGGAAGGAAAGGATGCCAGCAAAAATGGCTAATCCTTTTTCAGCTGCAGTAAATTGACTGCTGGCCATAGCCACGAGAAAACCGCTGCAGTTAAAATGATTTTAGCATCACGTCTGCTGCTGAGAATGGAGTGGCAGTTTATAAAAAGGACCTGTGGATCAATGAAAAGGAGATTATAGTGTATCTGAATATTAATAACGGCATTGCATCTGTACTTTCTACCCCTCCCCCCCCCTTTTCTTTAGATCTGCAGGACTGAAATGAAATATTTTGAGCTCTTCCAGCTGACTCATCAGAATCCTGGAGCATTTTTTAAAATGACGGTCATTTTCTAATGTTTTCATTTATACATATGGAAACACTTGTGCGTGCGCGCGCGTGTGCACGCGTGTTTGCGTGTGAGAGCCATGTGGCTGAATGACAATGCAGATCCTGAAACTGTTTGGAGAAGAGGGTTTGTGTTTTCAAAATGTAGATGGAGTTTGGGCGGACGTGGGGGCGTTCTCTGAGAGAGCTTCCAGAGGTGGAGATGAGAACGTGGAGAGATGGCCAGATTTGCCTGTAAATAATCACTACATCCACTGTAACACTTGAGCTGCTTTTTTTTTTTTTTTTTTTTTTTTTTTTTTTTTTTTTTTTTTGGAGCTGTTGTGTTTGAGCCAGGAACTCTCTCTGCAAACGTGGGTTACAGGCGTCTCCTAGCGGCGAAAGCAGCATAGGGCAAGCCAGAGAATTTTGCTTTGGAGCTCCTGTTCCGCAGGGTTCGCCTGTTGGGGGCTCTGCAGGATTTCTTGGGTCACAGAGGCCTGTGTCCTCGCCGGCGACGCCGGCCCGGGTCCTCTAGAGGTCTCGCCTTTCGGACTTCTAGTCTCTAAGGCTCCCCGGGACCCTCAGGGTGATAGCGGGGTCTTCTGCCAGGGGGAACAGACCCGAGCCAGCCCGTCCTCTTGCGTCTAGGTAGCTCCAGCCAAGGGCAACTGCGAGAGCATTTTGTTCCGGGCAAGATTCAGATATTGGCATGAATAGCCTTTTCCGCCTCCTTATCCTGGAACCATGAAACAGCCCCACCCCGTCACCCACAAAACAAAAAGCCTTTTAAAAATGCATCTTTCTTTTATGTGCCCTTAGGTGGATCCCAGAAATTAATAAAGCCGTGATTAAGTAAATAAGAGCATCTGCGGTGGGGTTCACGACCTCTTTGAAGTGCAGAATATCCTGTAATAAACTGTGTCTCTCTATCCCCCTTCCCCCCATTACTGGACCGGGAAGGGAGCAGGGATACCCATGGAGCACCTCCCTAGCCCTACCTCCAACACCACCCCCAGGAGAGCCAACTGGGCCAAAATCAATTGCATCCTAAAATCAGAGTGGGAAGGTAGTAATTATTATTTTGAGGGGTGTATCAAAATCCATCTTCATAAAAGTCCTGGTTGGTGTATGAGAGTGATGACGCACATTCGTGTATTTCATTGGCCTCTGAGATTGCAGCAGCAATTAGGGGGCGCTAAGGATCCCACAAATGCTTTTTATGTACATAGTTAGAAACTTTGAACTAGGTAACAGGGTTGCTTTCTTCCTAACCCTTTTGTGGAAAAAGTGGGAGGGAAACAAGTTTGTTAACCAGCATTTGGATAAATGAGTGTTTGCAGTGATTTAACTTGACTTGAGAGCAATTTGTTTCTAAATCCTCTTATTATTGCTGTGTGCCCGGAGCTTTGAGAGATTTTTTTCTTTTAAAGAAATGGAAGAAAAAAAATTTTTAATTGTCAATAAGAAGTCTTTCAAATACCAGACGTGGCCAGGATTGAACTAGATGGTTCCTGGCATTTGTCATTCCCAGCAAGGAGAGTGCAGAGAGCAATATGGACTGTGTGGCACCTCTTATGGGTATCCGTGGAATAGGTGTATTTATTTGTGGTCGTGTAACTTAACTTTAGAGGTGGGAAGTCAAGGCTTTGGAGCCGATGCCACAGGCACTGATAGTCTTGTTCATCTAGTTATAAAGAAAATGTTGACTAAGTTTCTAGAAAAGATTTATAGCATATTACAAGCATATAACAAGTAACATTACAGTTACTGTGTTGTAATGCTCTCAACTGAACAGAGAACAAACCAATACATATTTTCGGGACTGGGAATGCTAGATCTTCCTTTAAAGCATCACTTGATATTCAAAGTAGAAATGTTCTTCTCCATTTTGTTTAACCTGGTCAATATTGGTACGGCTTCCCATTTCAGTGTCTTTTCAGTTACCAGACAGGGCCAGCATTTTGTTAAACTCTAAACAGTGAATTAAAAGCACTGATGAGCTGAAGCAGGCCTTTAATGCAAAATGACAAATTGCACTTAAGCAATACATGAAGAAGAAAATGATTTATGGATTTTTACAATGGTCGGAGCAAATGAAAGCAACATGAATTATACATCCTAATGCTCACGGTATCATTTTCTAATAATACTGTTTCAGTTCAGATGCTACACTCTCATCCTTTCTATAAGAGATATTGATCAATAAGAGGTCCAGGAATATTTTAAAATTAGGCAATGGTGTCTGATACGGGTTCCAAATATATATATATATATTTTTTTCCCTGAGTATGGTGGGGGGGTGGGGGTGTGAACATTGAGCATACTGACATTCTGGTCAGCTCCTTCACATACTGTATCTTTGAGTGATAAATAGTCTTTTGGAAACATGTTTTGTTCCACACCTTCTTTCAGAATGCAAATAAATAGATCTAATTTAGAATGACACTCCTTATTATATCATGACCTCTTTCTTTGAAAATCAAAATGCATAACCTTATCTTACATTTTTCTTTCATTGCTTTGGATTTTGAAAATCTGATTTCTCAAAAATGTCTCTTACCTTCCACATATTTGTTTTATCCTATTTCTCCAGAACATTTTTAAATTCCTAAGTGTGTTAAAGACATATCAAAGTTAGTAAGAAGGTCATATGCCTTAATTTTATCTTGGCCTTAGTAGACAGAATAGGTCTTATGACCATCTTAAATTATAGTAAAAAAAAAATCAGATAAAACTTTATGTGATGCTTGTTTTTTGAATCTGGGGGAAAAAAATCCAGTTACCCCTGTGTTATGACAAGTGACTGCTCATAGCGCTTTTATTTAACCATTTGTGGCTTATGTAAGTATTTTAGGGTGTGGGTAGAATTTTAAGCAAAGATAGTATCTTTGCTGTATTACATATTCAACCACAGGAAACTTCTAATTACCCAGAGGCCTCTAGAGTCACATTATTAGGCCTAATCTTAATTGTCCAGGTTTATAAAAAAAAGAAAATGAAAAGAAAAAGAAAAAAACTAATTACAGCTTCTGCTTTTGACAGCATTAATAATCACTCTTACTGAAAGTTTACTGAAACCAATGATATGATTAGGATTATAAATAAGAACTACAAGACATCACATTTAAAACGCCAACTGCTTTACTGACATGAATGCTGTGTGGGTTATACTGATGAGGCCCGAGGTAGAAAAGAAGGTTTAAACATTAAGGTCGATTCAGAACAATTTCAAAAATTAATTGCAAGCCCTGATTATCTGAGTAAGAAAAAGGGGATTTAGAATTCTGTTTTTTCTTTGTCAGTGTGTTTGCTCCTTATCTGACAGTGATACAGTCAGTGTAATGCTAGTGTTTGTTTGGCAAGTATAAATTGTTTTCTTAAGGGGAAACCCCTTGAGTTTATAAATACAGAATGAGATTATCCACATTTTGATTAGGGTTATAAGCCATGGCATTACTTTCTGAAGAGTTTGAAAACGTTACTGGAGACAGACACCATGTAAAGAATATCAAACATAACTTGAGAATTACATGAGTAATTAGTAATTGGAATTACAATAGTACACAGAACAAATAGATACGTCAATAAAAAGAAAGTGATCTATCTCAGTTTGACCACTAGTTAGTGTAATTGTTTGTGTTAGAAACTTGATTTTCATGATGCATCATTTAAGTGGAACTGGTAATGCTATACTATAAGATTTTTTTAGTTTATTACAGTTTTGATTTTTTAAAGGTGAAACTGAGTAATTACATTTAAACAGCCAATGTATTTCCAGAATTCTTAATAAGTTAGCATAACCTCCCATATCTATAGGTATTATCATTTCAATATTATAGGTAAAGATACTAAGGATGTTCAAATTTTAAGTAACTCACGAAATTAATACAAAAGTCAAATCCAGACCTCTTGATGCTCATGTTGAGGCTCACTTCTCTACAACATGTTTCTCTAGTTTCAGTTCGAAGGTAAAACAAAACAAAAGAACTAATTTAGAAGTGGGGTTCATCCAGATTTTGTACTGACAAGAGTACTAGTTTTATCATTGTCAGAATGGCCAGTATGTCATTGAGGTGAGCCATGGAAATGTATTTAAGGAGGTGTTTTGTGTGTGTGAATGTGTGGCGGGGGCAGATGGCATTGTCAAGAAACCCAAACTTGAATATGTTTTGTAAATTAGGATGAATAGATTATAACCAGTCATCTCTTTCTCATGCAGAAGGGCCCAACATGAAAATTGTAGGTTTTTATAATTAAAAATGGAAATTGATAAAACAAACTTGCGCAAAGGAAAGGCATTTCTGCCTCATCCAATCCTGAAAAGTACAATGTTGATCAGTGGCCCCAGAATTATTGTCTTGGTTTATCAGAGTTTGTTAAAAGTTAGAGGGGGAAATAAGTGTACTAATTTTATACAGTGCAAATATCTGTATTTATTTTGTGTATATTTCTGAACTGGTCTTTAAAAGAGAAATTCTGGTTGTTATTTTTTTAAGAACATTTTCAACTATCACTTTATACAAACTTCTTCAATGTTGCTCAGTAAAGACTGTTTTAATTTGAAATTTCAAAGTTAAACAAATTTATTGGACAATCTTGTGTCTACAGAAAATGGAAAAGAAACAACTTTAAAACGATCTTAAATGCAGAAAGAAATAATCGAAGGAAGATGATTGTGGAATCTTCTATACCTACTGTAAGCAAAATATGTATTATTATTTGGATAATAAGTACCTTACAGAGGAACAATATTGTATTTCTTTTAAAAGTGTACTTAGTGATCAGAGTATGCGCATTGGAGGCCCTACAGGGTAGGTCCTATATCTTCCTCATTTCTAAAGACACCCAACTATGGCAGGCAATGCTACAGTCAATTATGAAGAACATAAATGAGAATTAAGGCAAATTGGGCTCAAATCCCTGCTTCTCAAAATATGTGAACTTAGGCACTCTACTCCTTTGAAACTCTGACAAAGTGTGTCATATATGCTGAACATTTCTTAAAATATGATGCTACATTGAGCTTGTTAGTCACTGTGAGTCTTAACTGAAATGTCATATGTAAAATTCTTGGCCTATAGTAGACGCTCAATAAATGTTAAATATTTCTATAGCCAGATGTTTTGAATGAGGTGTCCTTAAATAAGATAATTATTGAGAATAATTGGCACTGATTTTCTTAGTGGTTTTATTTCATTCATGAAACTCAAACTAAAGGATTTACTTTAAGGTGCAAAACAGTTTTACTCTGTTCCTATTTTATGGAAATTACAATATAATTTTGAAGATTGGATGCAAATAATGAATGAAGAAGACTAAAAAAATTTTAATTAGGCACCAAGACATAAAAATCAATAATGTCCTTTATTTCATAATCATGTTTTATTTTAAAACTTTTATTTACTTTTTTCCAGATAAGTTTACATTTTCTATAAGCTTTAATTTATATGATAATCCTGATATGTAGATAGATTTCTAAAATCATTTTGATAAGAACGTGGTTTTTTCGGTGCAAAAAATATTTTTTCTTATTTCTATATTTGTTGCAATTTTAGGATTAAAGTACACTTATATGATAGATTTGCTTATTTTTCTTCCAGTTCCTTGATGTACAGCCTTAATACCTACAATTCTGTTCATGCTGATAAGTACTAAAGTTCTCACAATTCAAACCAAATTAGTAAATATCACTGACTTAAAATAGAATGAGTTTATTAGAATGACCAATTCTGAGTGTCAACCCTCAATTGTATTTGACTTTCTCTTTAGCATTCTCCTCCTTGCAATTTCTCTGCCCTACTCTTGCTGTTACTAGTATTCTCTTCAGTAGCTTCTTATAGTTTTAGAAGTAAAAACATATATTGGTTCTGGCATGATAGGAGTGCAGCCATAGGAATACTGAAAGAATAGAAAAAAAAAATGTAAGGGCACCTGGGTGGCTCAGTTGGTTAAACATCTGACTTCGGCTCAGGTCATGATCTTGTGGTTGGTGAGTTCAACCCCCACATCGAGGTGTGCACTGACAGCTCAGAGCCTGGAGCCTGCTTCAGATTCTGTGTCTCCCTCTCTCTCTCTACTCCTCTCCCACTCATGCTCTGTCTCTTTCTCTCTCCTTCTCTCAAAAATAAACATTAAAAAAATTAAAAAAGAAAAAATGTAAGTCATGGATATATTTTTTAAGGATTCACACTCACTTTGATAAATAAAGAATATGCATTAACAGGTCTGAAACTTCATTGAACAGTATGAAAATAAACCTATTAAAACATATAATGAGTATGAATGTTGAGTGGTTAGAGAGTAAAGAGAGGATTAGAGTAACACCAACTAGTTAAGCAAAGGTTTCTA